AAGCTTTTAGTAAAAGAAAGGATCAAGTAATTAGATTGGCTTACTTACAGAAACTCTGGCAGAGGTCTCAACACGTCGTAAGTTCCACTGGACAAACTTCCAGTGGGGTCAAAAGGCAGTAAATGTACAGAAATTGTCATGCTTCTTGTGGACATCCCACCATGGCAAAGGGACATCTCCTTCCACAGTTCAATGGTCCAACATCTTCAGACCTCCCTCCAGAACCAGTCGCAGCAATCAGCATGCAACCATAATGGTAATCAACCTGCATAAATGATATAATACTGGTACGAGGTAACTCTTCGGTACTATATACCACCAGAGAGCAATCCATGTCATCTGGACCAGAAGATTGTCTTCACTTTGCAGATTACAGCTCCATGGGCATATCTTCAGTAGGAATGATACCAACAGGACATGCGCTATGCTTATTTTAGCATTGGATTCTTAAAAGCAAGTTGTAGATTGTGGGCTGTTTAGCTGTAACTGGTGGGATGCAGCTTGTGGATTGTCATGTAAATGGGACTGGATTATCAGAATCTACTTTTAAAAGGTACCCCATTTATTTTATCTTCAGCATTTAGAACCAGAATCCATCACTCTTAACTGAAGAAAAACAGGCCGTAATTCTTGACTTATTGTTTTTTTAATGTAAAATACAGCAGGGGAGGCCCCCACTGTATAGTTTTATTAGAAAAGAAGGCACTGTACAAAAGGGAGGCTTTAACCAAGCCAAAGCACAAAAGAAAAGAACAACAGAGGCAATGTCAAGGAGAACTGCAAAGCTAGGGGAGGGAATCTATACAGAGAAGGAACTCAAGACGTTTGTCTTCACCAAGTCTACAAGCCTGCAACCTGATTTTACCAAGTGCAAATGCAGTTATGTTTATTTACTGACCAAGGCCAATGTTTCAGCTGCTACTACCATGTACAACTTGAAACAAACCTTATAGCTACTCCATATTTCTGCTCTTTAATAAGAAGGGTACCAGAAATATTGCAAGTGCTCAATTGTTGTAATAAATAACACAACAAGAAGAAAGGAATAGCCACAGAGTCATCAACATTTGCAGATCTAATCGCTATCCATATTAGCCTCTGATTCTCAGGGGAAATATCAGCAACACACTCATAAGCGTCAGTGTCATGAGGAGAGAAAAAAAGATGGAACCTCATTCAACAGTCATTTTTCTCAAAATCAATGCCCTGCGGATCTGAGTCATCCATAAGGTTCCTTAGACCCACTCTCAGATCTGGCACCCCCTCCTGCAAGATGGCGCAAACTGGAAATATTGGAACACCATGCACTCTCCTCTTCAGTTCCTCGTACATTTCTTCAGCTCCCTCTTCGTCTATCTTGTTTGCGACAATCAGTGATGGTCGCCGAGTCATTCCTTCTTGGTAATGCTCCAGCTCTGCGACCAAATCCTGCAGCTGCTCCCAAGGTGGGACACCCTTCCTGCCATTAAGCGTGGCTGCAAGGTCAAGCACATAGGCGATAATTTTGGTGCGCTCTATGTGCCTCAGGAAAGCATGACCCAGGCCACGGTTCTCATGTGCTCCTTTGATCAGGCCAGGTATATCAGCCACTTTAACTGAGAAGTAGTCCTCATAGGTCAGGCTGCCAATGTTGGGCCTCAGCGTGGTGAATTCATAGTCGGCTATCTCTGGCTGCGCCCTAGAGAGAGCACTGAGCAATGTGCTCTTCCCAGCATTGGGAAATCCAACCAGACCAACATCTGCAATGCTCTTCAGTTCCAAGATAAGGAAGCTCTCAGTTCCTGGCTGCCCGGTACTCAAACGGGCTATCTTCTCTTGTCTGTTTGCTTTGGATGGCCGCATCTCCTTCATGATAAAAGCATTCCCCAATCCACCTTCGCCTCCTCGTGCTATGATTAACCGCTGCCCAGGTTTCGTCATCTCAGCAACACAATATTGCACATCTTGTTCATCCCTCACAATATACCTCACATCCTCTTCCTCCTCCTCGTTCATGTCAAACTCGTCTTCATCCTCCCAAAATTCTTCATCCTCGCTTTCAGTCTGATCTTTTTCATCTGTCCCCTCCTGACATGAATAGATTCTTACATCACGATTAGTGTTTGAGAACTGAGGCTTGGAGCATGTATGAAGGTATTTTGGATTCTCCGACTGACTGCTGCTTCCCTTTACAGTGCCATTTCCATCAGTAATATGCTTAGGGGCAATATGCTGATGGGACAAGCCACCATCAAAACCTTTCGTCACTGTATTAACAATCTGGTCCGAATCTGAAGAGTGCTCTTCAGCACTAGGTATGTCCCAGGGATCTAGAGCTCTGGTTGGTTTATTTACTGTGAGAGAAGGTTGCTCCCCTTCGACAAGATGAATCACCGTGCCTACAGGTACTTGTGCAATCTGTTACATATAAGTAGAGAAGGTGATATACAACGTAAACCAAAAAAAAGAAGTTATGACATATAATATGCATATACTCGTGGTAACCTTGTCAGAACCTCTTGTTCCTATCTGATTCTTAGAAACTCCATTGCCACCTCGGCCTCCTCTCTGAAAACCAAAATTAAACAAGCTAAAGTCAGGTATCAATGATTTCCCCCTAATTCAAATGATCCATGATCCATATCATATCGAGCTACACCGCAATGTCTAGCTTCACACTTTAGGTAAAATTCTGGGTTGGGCGACCTTTCTTATACCAATACATTCACAACACTAACTTTCAATTAGGAACCTATAATTTATGAAATACGATCTTACATCAACCACAACAATCAGTGCAGCAACCATATCTAACTGAAGCAAAATCATATGATGTTTTTGAAGACATACCATGTGATGCTGCAAGCCACTGAAATCCCAGATAGACCTTGAGCACTCAAGAATTACATCACCACCCTTCCCTCCATTACCACCTGTACTTTTTAAAATTCATTATACGGATCGACCACTCCAAATATTGCAAATAATATAAATCCCACTGCACTAGCATGTGAAAATCAGAGTGAGTATCAGGAGCTAGCTTCGACCAACAGAAACAGGGGAAACATTTATATATAATATAATTATCATGATTTAAAATCCAGCTTGCACATGAGTTTTTACAATTCCAGGGATCATTCCCTATCCGTAGCATTGCATTGTGACATCAAATTCAGTATTTACAGTACAATTCACCTCTAGTATCAGGTGGTCAAGCATTAGCTCCCCAATCCCCATACATCAGAGATTCAAATCATCATCTTTCAAAAAATAGAATTTTGAAGACAGACAGACATGATCTGTTTGTCAATTAAACAGATTACTTAAAGATCAAAAAAAATATCTGGGCAGTTCAGACGAGGACAATAGACAGTTAACCAAGTGCCCAATCAAAATAAATTTTCCAACAGTAAGAGCTCTACTAATGGACAAAACAACTAAAGTGGTAATTTGAAGATTGATCTTCATCAAGGGAAGCAACAATTTAATTAGGCAAGCTGCAGTTGTATTATAATAAAAAGGGAACCAACATATATTGGTCTCCAATGCTAATACCACAAACAGAGCCAATTTCACAAGAGCATTAGTATTAGTACGAAAGCAAGGGCAGCACAAAAGGGTGGGGTCTCTCACCGTCAGGCTTGCCCAGGCGGCTGGACCTGGAGCGGCGGAGGCTGACGCAGCCATTGCCGCCGTCGCCAGCCTTGGCGCGCATCCGGAACTTGTCCACCATGCCCCGCGCCTGCACCAAATCCATCAGTAAACAGACGGAGGGAAAATGGACTCAGGGAAACGAATATGGAAGGAGGGGACCTGCAAAGGCGCCGTCTTTCCCTTCGTCCCCTCCGGCGCAGACCCGTAGTAGCATCCCAGTCGGTCGGCCGCCCAGGATGAGGGAGCCTGCGCCACCGCCCTCAGCGGCGGGAGCCGGCGGAGGAGAGCCTGCTGCTGCCGCCACATATCCTGGCGGAGGAGAATGCTCCCGGCGCCTCTTGAATCTCGACCTCCGGCGGCGGCCGGCGGCGGGTGGGAGACGAGCGAGAGCGACGGACTCCCTTCGCTCCGCGGTGAGCTCTAAAGCCCAAAATCGTTTTTACGTTTCATTAATGAGTTGGGCCTTGGGCTATGATAGGCAGTAGAAAGACCCAGGCCGGCCCAACTCTCGTCTTCGTTCTTCTGTAGGCTGTAGCGGTGTATTATTATATTAGTAGGTAGTGTGCCTGTGTGATGCTACGGGACAACTAAACTTTTGTACTTAAAAACACATGGATCGTACGATAAGATAACAATACTATAAAATTAAATACCAATGTTAAAGTTACAGTTAATCCAAAAAGCAAAGGTCGTGAAATTATCAGTCACAGAGAGCGCAGCGTCACAGTCTTACAAACTCTACTTTATAGACCTTTCCGTGATGCGCCTAAGATAATGTTTTATATCGGCAGGAAGAAATCTTCGATATCCATTTCTTTCGTGCGCCAATAAATTCACGAATAAGTTTCGTCGCATCTCCATGCCATCCTCCGCCCGGGGCATCATCCGGAGGCTGCATGGGGGCGGCAATGGCGGGGGAAAGGAGGGGAAGGGCGGAGGGGAGAAACCGGGAGGGAACGGCGGCGGAGGAGGGAGAGCGAAGTGCGGTGGCCACACGGGGGAAGAGGTGGGGTTTTGCGTGGCGGCGAAGTTGGTGGGGGAGCAGGGGCCGGAACGGGCCAGAGCATGGCAGATTCCAGAGTTCCCATTGGTTGCCCACTCGCTCTCGCCTTGCCTACCCTTTTTCTCACTTCATTTTCACACACACAAAAAAACAGTATAATTCTTTTTTTTTAAAAAAAATCACAAACAATTCAGCTATTTCTCCGCTAATAAAAAGATCCGTTTCTCAGCTAATAAAAACAATTCAAATACATGATAATAATACAACAACGATGACCAAACAGCCTATGTTATCTGTATGCTCAAGGCTGCATGCATCACGCATGGTTAAACCTGAGTCAATACTAAATAATGCCTTCAGAAAGTCATGACAAAGCAGTGGCGCTTTCAGAGAGCTCCAGAAAACCCAGGGGCGACATTGGCCCCATTGCTTCTTTCTGGGCGTCAACCATTTCCAGGATCTTTCTTACGGTTGCCTGTAACTTTTCGTGGCCACCTTCCAGTGTGGACGGACCAGTTGTTCCGTTTAGTTGGATGGCCTCGTTTTCAAGATCCATGTTTGATGACTTTATTTTTGACTGTGCTTTCGCTGATGTTACTGCATTGGTAAAGACACCGGATTCCTTAAGGCCACGAATGATAGCCTGCAAAGATTGGGCATAAAATGTAGCAGCAATAAGAAACTTCTTCCATGAACTGAAAGCCTACAAGATTGAGATCTGGACTAACCATGGGTGCATATATACGTGTTAAGACACCCTTCCTCAAAAGTTTCAAATTGGTGTCTTTATCAGTCCATACAACATGTTCCCGGTACCTAAACAAAGGTAGTCAGACCAATGCGATCTCTCTTAATTTAGGCAAGATAGGGAGGAATGGTTGGTGCTTGGACATGGTACACAGAAGGCTAAGGGTGTTACCAGTTCTTCATCTCCTCCCCAGTCGCTGTTGATACAATTATAAAGGCCTGCCATGACAGAGTACAAGGGAGGATTCATTAGCTCTACCAAGTTAGTTATCCAGTTAGCTACCTATGCACAATGATACCTAATAAGAGTTATAGCAGTTTCCTTTCTTTTTTTTGGTAAAAAGACAGTTATATGGTTCTCTGGCATGGCCGGCTATACATTGTACAATGGAGAATGGACCATGGGAAACATTTATGTGATTAGTATAAGGCACACGAACAAGGTACAATATTGTGCTTGTGCAATGCCCCATCACCCCTGTATCTGATTCAGACATAACTACATCTACTCATCCACTTTCAGTTAAAAAAAGATATTACATGCATATATTGTGTAAACTGAGATGGTTTCCACCCACGACAGTTTCCACAAGTATTTCCATTGTATAATAAATCATCTAGCCATTTTTCTCCCCATCTCATTCTTTATATCATATCACTTAAATGAAATAAATGTATTATTTCAACATTTTAGCCAGGAAACAGTTATGATGTTGACAAGGTGGACAACAATAGATGCTATGCAGATACAGCAAAGGGAAGAAAAGATAGCTCACCAAACAGTCAAATTCCAAGATAAAACATCGTTTCACATCTTCTTTAGTTGGCTTGCAACCACACCTATCCCTCCTTGAGGTTAGGTCTGAGAACTTTGTGTAGGTGTAATGCAGAATAGCAGCCCCCTCCAATTTGATTTCACTACAAAAGAAATATATAACCAAACCATCGAGTAGAAAGAATTGTAGTTTGTTGACTGACCATTTGTTTTAGCAAAAAAACTCCACATATTGAGATATCTTACTTTGAGGATTTCATGTAATTATGCCATCTATGAGCACCATTTGGACGCAAATGCTCTTGAGCCCTTGCAGCCGATTTCCCATTACCATAAGTAAGGAAGTAGTTTGGATTACCATGTGTTGCTTCTTTGTATAGACCAAAGTATGTATCCTTCGGAAGATGATCATAATTTTTCTTAAACATGGAAACCTGCAGGCACAAAACAATATGACTGTATCAATGATGCAAGCTAGCAAACACATACAACGATAATCAGACCATTTCTATTATTTCCTTCAATGCATTAATGAGTAGTTCTGTGCAGTGTTTGCTAAACTATAGTTTTTTCTAGACAGTGAGTCGATATCTTGTTATCTACAGGTCGCACTTTGCTTCTCAAGTAAGCCAGTGGATCATCATTAGCATACAGAGCAATTTTTTTCCTTTCTTTTGCATACATGTTACAGATAACAGTAGCTTCTATACCTCAGTGAAAGAATCCTTAATGTCATCACTCTCAATGCTGCTCTCCTGGAAAAAAGAAATATATACAATAATCAGATGTGAAGCACGTTACCATATTCAACAAACATGTTACTTGTGTGACTCACATAATTGGGGAAGATAACCATGTCAACATTGTCAGGAACATCTAAAAGCAATCGCCTCAGGGAATACTCTCGGGCACCAGCTGGGTGAATCAACTCATCAGTAATAAGGTGAATGATCCAATCCATCCCAGTATCCTGTGACAATCAAACAGGGGACATTCACATCAATCTCACGACTAAATACAAGGCCTTTTCAAAGTCAAAATGACAGCTAATAAAATGACTCCATAATTAGCCAAGAACTAAACTAAGAAACTCTTTTTAAGAAATCTGAGACAAAATTGAAACATTTATACAATCATATTGTAAACAAGTAAATTAGCATATTTTCTACAGCCTGCTACTGCTAAGAAGATGGCAAACAACACGAAATCCAGGTGCTCATCAGAGGTGGACCCAGAAAAGCACCCATAATTTTCGCAAAAAAACAAATATCAGAGTTAGTAGTAGAATTAATGCGTACATAGTCTTGTGATTAGATCAGATTGAAATACAAATTGCCAAATAGATTAAGCTAGGGTTCGTCTGGTTCTCGGCTTGGCACAGCAGGAAGGGAGGAGAAAGGGTGCTTACTTCAACCATACCGCCAAGGGAGCTCGCGCTATCGGGGGATCTCGTATCGCTGCTTGGGGGAGCTCGCGCCGCCGCCGGAGATCTCGGGCCGCCGTTTGAGGGAGCTCGCGCCGTTGCCGGGGGATCTCACGACACCGCTTGGGGAGCTCATGCCGCCGGTGTTGGGGTGCTCATAGGAGCTCGACAGAGCTCGGGTGCTATGGGTAGGGCGCGGTGGCTCCGAGCACGGCAGGGAACGACACCGGCCCAGCTTTGTGTGCAGTGGAAGCGGCGGCCCGGACGACCACTGGGGTCGCCGGATCGGGGAGGACGCGCACTGGCCGCCAGACATCGAAGACGGTCATGCGGATAGTCAACGCGCGATGGTGGCCTGGCCGTGGACCTTCAGGATGGGACCCGCCCGTGTGGGGATGAGGGAGGAGGGCCATCAGGGCCCGCTCGCGCTGACGCACCACCCGCGGGGGTGCCACTGCCCTGCGCTCGCCGCTGCGAGCCTCGGGAGAGAGAGGGATGGGTGGAGATCCGGGGGAGAAGAAGGGAAGGAGCATCTGTGACTCCGACCACCAGATCCGGCCATCGTCGACGAGCCAGAGTAGGCCACCGGAGCTGGAGGGCTGCGCGGCGCGGGCGTGGGTGGGCATGGCCGCGCGAGGGGCGAAGGCGACAGTGGTGCGGGGATGGGGATGGGGAGCGGCACGCGCCGCGGCGGCCCATGGGATCCAGCGGGTCGCACGGTGGGTGGGGGCGATGATTGCGGCGTTTTAGCGATTTGCGCGTGGACAGGAGGCGGGGATCGCAGGCGTGGGCAGACGGATGAATCGAAACAAATGTCGCACAAAAAATGTTCATTCTTTGTTCTTTTTAGTTGTAGGAGATTCCCGTGAGTCCTCCTTTGTCATTAACCTTTCTATTTCCCATTTCCATTCACATTTTCTGTCCTCTTCAAGACTGCGGTTCTATTTCTTCCTTTATCCTATTTCATGTTGTGCTTACATCTTCTTTTCCTTTTGTACGCTTATTTATTTAGTTATCATTTCCATCTATTTTATATGTTCATCTATTTTATTATGTCTTTTTTTTCTTTTTTTCTTTTTTATCCGTATATGGAAATGCAATTTGTCCTTGTTTTCTGAATGTTCGTGCTCATTTTTTTTGTGTGTGGTCCATGCAGCAATGGTATTCCTAATGTCAAGGTCCAGGGTCCAACAATATGCTTTTTGTGTCTGCGCCTTTGGTCTGTCATGGCCAACTTGAAAGAGTGTGGGTCCCATATTTGTTGCAGGACCTGTGTCTCAAATGTGTTACGTTCGTGCAGTCTTGTATAGTGTACCTTATAATCCAATCGCAACCATGTAACCTGAGATGTACATATCTTGAATTTAATTGTATCATTGAAGATGTAGTCTTGTCTTTTGTCCCCTGTGTGTTTTTAGGAGTTGTTTTTATTATTTGGCTCCAATTGTGGTTTTTTATTTTTTTATTTTTATAATTTGTCCCTACTTGTTATTTTTTGTTGTGTTTTAAGATTTTGTTTTAATAATTTGGTGTCCAGTTGCCAACTTTCTTGTTGTTATTTTAACTTAGGTGTTATTTTCTTGTAGATGTAGTCTTTGTTTCTCTCCCCTGTGGTTTTTTTGTTGTTTTTATTATTTTGAACCTTTTTTATGTTCTTAGTTGTTGTTTTTATTATTTGGCCCAATTGGCATTTTTTCTGTTTTATGTTTTTTCATCTATTTTTTGGTTGTTTTTTGTTGTTTATATAATTTGATTGATCTCCAGTTGGCAGCCTGTTGTTTTTGTTGTAGTTTGTTTTTTTTTTGTAGTTAGGAGTTGTTTTAATTATTTGGCCCAGTTGGCATTTTTTCTGTTTTTTGTTCTTGTCATCTATTGTTTTCTTTGGCATTTTTTTTCTTTTTTTGTTTTTTCATCTTTTTTTTTGTTTTTTGTTGTTTATATAATTTGATTGATCCCCAGTTGGCAGGCTGTTGTTTTTGTTGTAGTTTTTTTTGTAGTTAGGTGTTGTTTTAATTATTTAGCCCAGTTGGCATTTTTTCTTTTTTTTTGTGCTTGTCATTTATTGTTTTCTTTTTGTTGTTTTGGGTTGTTTATATAATTTGATTGATCCCCAGTTGGCAGCTTTTTGTTTTTGTTGTAGTTTGTTGTTGTTTTTATTATTTGCCCCCCAGTTGGTATTTTTTCAGAATATTTTTTTTGTTTTTTGTTTTTTTATATAGTTTTTTTTATTGTTTTTAGGGCTTGTTTATATAATTTGATTCCCAGTTGGGGGACGCGTGTCGTATCCGTGCTCCAGCTTGGATCAAGCGCCCGAAATGCCATTCCATCGCTCCTAACCCTCCACACACATTGTTTTTGTTATTTGGCTCCTATTTTGCAACTTCATTTGTCACGTATTTTTTATATAGGCCAAAATGCACTCGTACAACATGGAACAACATCTGTCCTAACAAAAACAACATCTGGCCTAACAAAAACTGGGCCTTATAAAGCCTGCAAGTCCAACCTAGAACAACACACGGAACAACGTTTACAACTGGCACAAAAATTCAGAACGTCACATTAAAATCAGATGGTCCAAAATTTGTGTGTTTGAAGCTGTTAAAACACACGATTCATGTTATGCGGGGCGTCAGCAGTTTCATGCGTTGCCAACGCCCGGTTGTTGGCAGACTATTAAACAACCGAACGATTGGTAGACATCCCCATTAGTTAAGGCCTTTGACGGTCACAGCGTGATGATGATATGAACAGGAGAGATGATGACGGTGGTGCTCCCGCTGACCTAGTGAAGGAAGCCACCAAAAAGATCTGAACCGATGCAACCTCCCTCCTCTCTAGTTGACGAGACGATATGTCTGTATCTATTTTCCTTTTGGTAAATTTTGCTTACGGGCACTGTTCAACCATGGAATTGGCTGATACACACCATCAAACCGATAATTTGCCAAGTACCATTATGAAACTATGGTTCTTTGCCATTGGACACCGTACGTAATAAAATATTCATTTTTATGGTTTAGAGAGGAGAAGACGTGTGAATAGACCATATTTTGCCTCTGCAGTCATCTTCCATCTCTAGACTCTACCCTTCTCTCTCCTCCGTTACCTAGGCTCTACACTGTGCGTCACTGCTCTTGTCCCCAGCCCCGCTCGCCCCACCCTACCCCCACGGATGGCAGCACCCCCACAGACGGTCTCCACATCCTCCTCAGCAAACATGTTTTGTGCGTCTCTGTAAACTTATTCGGTTGAAGTGTAAGCAATGCTAGTTCAAAAGAAGTCAACCGAAACCTCCAAATCACCTCGACAATCACAAACCACCCAAGGGCGCATCTCCCACCCATGTCAACCTAAGTTGTGCCAATCAGCTAAATTTAGCTGACTTGATCTCTTGAACCACTCTTCGAACATAGCTACCCATCTCAATGCAAAATCATGTCTATATTTGTTTTCTTGACTTATGCCAATGCAAGTTATCCAAACAAAAGTACAAATAAATAGGGCCTCATTTGTTTCATGACGACCACACTTAAGTAACGTCTGGATAGCTTGGATTCTTGTGCTTAAAAGTTCATGTCATAGTTAATTAGTTGCTGACACCACTATTGGGCACCTGTTGGCACATGGTTATCGATGCCCAGTCATTTCTGCATTAGTTTTCTTGACTTGATATAGTCTTGGCAAATAATAGTACAAATTTATTTCATGAGTTAGCACACATAAAAACGCGTTGACCAAAGGTAGGAGACAAAAAAAAAGGCATTTCCAGTCAATAGGACCCAAGCAGCACAATGGATCATCAGGACATTATAAAACGCAGTAGGCATGTGAAAGCATCTATACTCCAATGAACTGGACGTGGATCCTACTGGCATTAGTTGGATCACTCATATGATAGCATGTGAAAGCTTATATAATAATAAACCTTGTTCAGATTCTAACAACTGCAGGCGCATGCGTGACAGGAGTGGAAAAAATTGTATGCACTCGTGGTGTAGATCAGCCCGTGCCGCACCTCATCAGTACCGTCCAAACCAGATGCAGATCAGGTTGCATGCGTGGTGACGTTGTGATGGCCGAAAACGCCGGGTGGGGCCACAGGTTGCTGCACTGCGAAGGATTTGCCGAACGCCCAACAGGTTGATCAACGGCAGTGATGAGGTGCTGCACGGGGCTGATTTACATCACGGGTGCATAGAATTTTTTTCGACCGGGGTTGAGCAAGCATCGATGGGCTTCGTGGAGGCAGAGCAGTGGTGGGAGGCGTGGCAACTACGCCTGCTGGTTCTTGGCAGCCTGCTCCTCCAGTTGTTCCTCATGGTCGCCGCGGCGCTGCGGAGGCGCCCTATTCCGCCTTGGCTCAGGTTCCTGGCATGGGTGGCCTACCAGGGCAGCGATGCCCTGGCCATCTACGCCCTTGCCACCCTCTTCAACCGCCGCGACAAGCAGCAGCTGTGCCTGGAGGCGCTGTGGGCGCCCATCCTCCTGCTGCACCTCGGCGGTCAGGATGGCATCACCACCTACAGCATCCAGGACACCGATTTATGGCAGCGCCGCTTCTTAACTACTGCATCTCAGGTACGCTACTAAGTTTTGTTAGGGTATCCTGTAATATGTATGCCATGTTGCCATCGTCTACTATTATTCACACACATACACACATATATATATCTGGCGTTCACCGTCTCAGATTGTTGCCATCAACGTCTTCTGCAAATCATGGATAAGAGGGGACAAGAGTTTGCTGCAGGCAGCAATCTTGCTCTTCATCCAGGGGACTCTCAAATGCCTAGAGAAGCCATTCGATCTATGGAGGGCCAGCATGAGCCTATGGCGGCTACTGTGGGCTCAAGAGCCTGCAAAGTTGACGACAACGACAACGACAACGACATGACAATGAAGTTGGAAAAGGACATTTCACATGAGGAATTCATGGAACAAGATTCATCCGTATATGAGAATAGTGACCCCGCCAACAAGGAACGACGCGTGCCTGCCGGCGACCACAGAGTGAAAGGTAACCCCTAGAAAGCGGTACTAGAGATGGGGCTGGCATCGTGGCAGATGATGAGGGGCCAGAACTATTGTGGAAGGGAGCTGGTGGAGGCTTAATTGGAGGCTAGGGTGCTCGTAGAAGGACCACAACGTCCATTGTCGGATCAGGAACAGTCGCCCGGGAAGGGGGAGATGCGGCCTTCTCCAATCGGAAAGGGAACTGGTTCTCGTCAAAGACGACATGTCTAGAGGTGATCACCCACCGTGTGGCAAGATCAAAGCAGCGATAACCATGATGGTCTGTTGGATAGCCGAGAAGAACACAAATGATGGAACGAGCACTGAGCTTCTTAGGGGTAATGGTGGTTTGGTTAGGGAAGCAAAGATAGCCAAAGACCCTAAGATGATCGTAGGTCGGAGGAATGCCGAGCAGTGACTGAAATGGCGTCAGCTTGCCGCTAGCCTGCCACGGGCGACGATTAAGAAGGTGTGTGGCCGTGGAGAGGGCGTCTGCCCAGAATGTCGGGGGCATACCGGCTTGAAGAAGAAGATTGCGAATGCAGTCATTCATCGTCCAACGGATTCTCTAAACCTTGCCATTTTGAGAAGTATAGGGACATGAGAGCCG